CCTGAGGGGCCCATTTTCCAACCCTGTATCTGACAATATTCTGGTGCTCTTCATCATGTTTCAATAATTAATATTGAAAATCTGGTGCTAGCTGACAGTGTTCCACTGCTGTTTATAAGGTTTTCAGTGGCTAACCATTAAGAAGTAGTTCACACCTCCTTCTTCTTAGTGTGTCTCTCTCTATCTGGAAGCTCAGCTGGAACCTGTCCACCATGGGTGATCCTGCTGGTATTTAAAGCACGCTGGCATAGCTTCTAGCACTACATGCAAGCCACCACAGTACAAGTTGACAGATGAGTGGTGGTGAACTTATTTCTCCCCTAAAATATGTGTCAGTTTGGACAGAGAAGGAAAGATCTGTTACACCAAGCAAGAAGAGCAAGGAGTGGAGTGTGTCCTTTGACCTGGAATACCTGTACTGTGAAGTTCCTCCGTCTATGGAAAGAATGATGTCAAAGAACAAAGCAATCTGTATTAGAAGAAATACAGCCAGAACGCTCCTTGGAAGCCAGGATGGCCAGACTTTGTCTCTCATATTTCACACATATTATCAAGAGGGATTAGTCCCTGGAGAAGAGTATCATGGTTGATAAAGTGGAGGGTCAGAGAAAAAGAGGAAGACCCTCAACTAGATGGATTGGCACAGTTGCAGTAGCAATGGGTTTGAGCTTAGCAATGATTGTGAAGTTGGTGCAGGACCAGGCAGTGTTTTGTTCTGTTGTGCAAAGGGTCACTATAAGTTGGTGCAGACTCGATGGCACCTAACAACAAAAAACATGCAGAGGTGGGAAACACCTCTCTAAATCATTTGATCTAGTCCTGCAAACTCAACTGCAGTTCCAGCTACTGCATTATTGTTGCTTTTAAGTGCCATCAAATCGGTTCTGACCCATCGTGACCCTGTATAGGGTTTCCAAGGAGCAGCTGGTGAGCTTCAACCACGAACTTGTGGTTCAAACTGAATTTGCAGTCCAGTGCATTAACCACACCAGGACTCCAGCCAATGTTGTTGTTGTTAAGTGCCATTGAGTCAGTTCCGACCCATAGCGACCCTGTATAGGGTTACCAAGGAGCAGCTGGTGAACTTGAACTGCCAATCTTGCAGTTTAAACAGCTTTACAGTCTGGCGCATTAACCCTACAGCACCACACCAGGACTCCACCCATCATACTAGGGGTGAGTTATGCAGATGATACAATCTTGCTTGATGAAAGTGAAGAGGACTTAAAATATTTACTGATGAAGATCAAGGGCACAGCCTTTGGTATGGATCTCAATGTAAAGAAAAAAATCCTCACCACTGGACCAATAAACAACATTCTTATCAATGGAGAAAAGATTGAAGTTGTCAAGGACTTCATTCTTCTTGGATCAACTATCAACACTCCTGGAAGCAGCAGTCAAGAAATCAAATCACGTCTTGCTGCACAAGACCTTTTTAAAATGTTGAAGAGGAAAGCTGTCAGCTTGAGGGCTATGGTGCACCTGACCCAAGCCATGGTATTTTCAATAACCTCCTATGCATACGAAAGCTAGACAGTAAATAAGGAAGACGGTAGAATAATTGATGCTTTTGAGTTATGGTGTTGGAGAATATTGAAAATGGCATGGACTGACAAAAGAACAAACAGATCTGTGTTGGAAAAAGTGCAACCAGAGTACTCCTTGAAGGTCAGGATGGCCAAACTTCATCTCACATACTTTGGACATATTGTCAGGAGGAACCAGTTGCCGGAGAAAGATATCATGTTTGGTAAGGTGGAGGGTCAGTGCATGGCAACAATTGTGAGTTTGGCCCAGGATCAGGCAGTGTTTCATTCTGTTGAGTTGGTACCGACTCGGTGGCACCTAACAACAATGAAATGTTTGACCAAATATAGCAGGCTAATTTTTAAGTTGACAATTTTGCATGGCCCATGAATGATGTTTTAAATGTTGTCAGAAAAAACGTTTCCCACCTCTGACCTAATTTGTATCATGAACTATATTCAACAGCTAGGTCAACCAGCTAATCCTTAGACACTTTGTGGACCAACAATGAGGTTTCACATTGAAATTGAATGATTTTAAGAAGCATGAGCAAAAAGTTTGTGCTGCTTTTTTATAGGGAAATAGGATGGAAAGAAGAACGGTTGAATGGACATTCAAAATAGTGACTATCATTACAACACTTTAGGATTACTTTTCAGCATTATGTGTTTAATATTATTACAAATTTGGCTTCTGTAAATACTTTTTGAAAACTTTCCTATTCAGGGTTTCCAACCAGGTCTTTCTGGTTTGACCCCCTGCTGAGGATTTGCTTTCCCACCCAGATATATAGAATCATAATAGCCTGGGGATATGGTTAAAACCTAGATTCTGATTCAGTAAAGTGCCCTTTGCTGCTAATGAGAGGTCAGTTGTTTGAAGCCACCCAACCGCTCCACAGGAGAACTGTGACAGTATGTTTCTTTAAGATATTCAGCTTTGGAAAACCTCTGGGTATTTGTAAGGTTGTTAGGAGGAGCTCTGATAGCGTAGTGGTTACGAATCGGGCTGCGAACCTTAAGGTCAGTGGTTTGAAACTACCAGCCGATCCGCGGGAGAAAGATGAGGCTTTCTACTCCCGTAAAGATTTACACCCTCGGAAACCCTGTACAGGGTTGCTATGGGTTGGAACCGACTCGACGGTACTTAACTTAACTAGGAGGTGTGGTACTATAGGATCAGCAATGGACTTTGAACCACAAGGTCAGCAGTTCAAACCCACCAGCTGCTTCTCCTCAAAAACCCTATTCAGGGTCATTATGAGTTGAAAGCAACTCAAAGGCATTTAACAACAACAAGTAGGGTGGAAAATCAAATTCTCAGGAAGGGGTAAAACTGTGATGAAAAGGCTTTGGTTTTCATCAAATGTTGAGTGGACTGCTTTTCAACTGGGATATCAAAGTACTTTGTTGTTGTTACCTGCCATCGAGTCGGTACTGACTCCTAGCGACCCTATGCACAACAGAACGAAACACTGCCCGATATTGGGCCAACTTCACAATTGTTGTCACACTTGACCCATTGATGCTGCCACTTGGCCAATCCATCTCGTTGGGGGTCTTCCTCTTTTTCTCTGACCCTCTCCCATACCAAACGTGATATCCTTCTCTAGCGACTGGTCCCTCCTAACAATATGTCCGAAGTATGAGAGTAAATCACATGGTTGTCAGATTCAAAATGGTCAATAACAGTCCATTTCAGCTTACTAATGCCTAAGATATCAATGTTTATGCATTCCATTACATGTTTGACAATTTCCAATTTTCCTAGATTCATACTTCATGTATTCCATGTTCCGATTATTAATGGGTGTTTACAGCTGTTTCTCTTCATTTTGAATTGTGCCCCATCAGCAAATGAAGGTCCCGTGGGCTTTTCTCCCACAGGCTTTACTCCATTTGCAGTATCAAGGTCAACTCTCCTTTGAGCAGGCAGCTGGTCCCCAGTTGCATTTTGGAAGGTACAACCTGAGGGGCTCATTTTTCCAGCACTGTATCTGACTGTGTTTCTCTGCTCTTCATAAAGTTTTCAGTGACTAAATATTCGGAAGTAGTTCGACTCTCCTTCTTCCTGGTCTGTCTTTGTCTGGATGCTCATCTGAAACCTGTCCACCATGAGTGACCCTGCTGGTATTTAAAATACCGGAAGCAAAGCTTCCAGAATCACAGCCACTCAGAAGCCACCACAATAAGACAAACTGGCAGACGAGTTGTTGTTAAGTGTTGTCAAATCAGTTTCAATTAATAGCGACCCTGGATAGGATCTGGTAGCCTAATGGTTACAAGTCGGGCTGCTAACCTCAAGGTCAGCAGTTCGAAACTACCAGCGGTTCCGCAAGAGAAAGATGAGGCTTTCTGAGCCTGTAAAGATCTCCAGCCTGGGAAAGCCTATGCAGGGTAGCTATGAGTCAGAACTGACTCCATGACACACCACCACCACCCCATAGGGTTTCTGAGGCTGTAACTGTGGGGAACAGCCAGTCTCATCTTTCTCCCGCCAAAGTGTTTCGTTGTTTTTGAAAGTGCCGAGTTTCCAAAAGCAACTGGTGGGTTTGAACCACCAACTTTGCGGTAAGCAGTCCAGTTCTGATCCTACAGAGCCACACCTGGACTCCAGACATTAATTACCATTTATGATCTACACGTGGCAATCTGTAGCAAAGTCGATCAAAAGGGGCTCCCAAGGTCATTGGGCAAATAGAGATTGCTGTTAAGCGTAGCGAGTCAATTCCGATTCAAAGCGACCCTGTATAGGATTTCCGAGGAACGGTTGGTGAGCTTGAAACGCCGACCTTGAGGTTCAATGCGACCTTGCAGCCCAGCGCATTAACTCACAGCGCCACACCACAGTGGGATTGGAAGCCGAAAAATGCTTCGATGAAGTATGGACTAGGGTCCAGCCAAGTGTACGTGTGTGTGTTGGGGGACCACGGGGAAGGTTTATCTGACCCCCTACCAAGCACACGACCCAGTCAGTAGATCATACAAAGAGTCCCTCATACTATAACCTTCCTTTGCTCTTCACGTCATTGAACAAGCTGCCATGATTACACCGGGGAGGAAATGTCAGAGACTTTACCTCCCCTTTCTGTGCTACATACATATAACCCCATTTGGCTTCTCAAGCAACCAGACATCAGGTCCACTTCCTGTCTCCTTTTACAAAAGTAACAGAGTAGTCAGGCCCTAATGACGCAGCCCCACCAAAGTAGCAGCCACCAACCTGCGGGGAAGACACAAGGCAAAGACACTTTCCGCGCCAGGAGTATCCCGCGCCGCACTATGGGGGTCGCCATGTTGGAATGTACCAAGAGGAAGACTGTTCCGGGGGTTGTGGGCAGAGGAAGGGGTAGGGTTATAGGCCGACTTCCCCGGGCGACCGGAGTTGGACGAATCCGTTTCTGCGTTCTTGTTTGCAGAGCCGAGACTCCGTCCCCCTTCCCGGCTCCCGCAGTTGGTACGGCCCAGGACAGCATGGCTGCTGCATATCAGCCTTCTGAGCGAATCTTGCTACGGACGCAGCGAAGTTGGGTACATCCCTTGGTGGGCGGCTCCGGTTCCACTTGTTATCGGTGCCCTCTTGGAGGTATCGCGGCCCCCAGGCCTGGTGGGCAAATCGCAGAAGGAGGGGAGGGGGATGGGAGAGACGGTATTGTTAGAGTCCCACGGACATAACTTTGGACGAATAACCCCAGCGTGTTTAGGTCGCTCTCTGACCTGGAGCTGCCGGGCTTGTAACTCTCTTGGTTGCGCCTGGGTGTTGTGGACACTCGCGTTCCTCAGGACGGAAAGACCGCTGGGCTGAGTTGTTGACCTTGAGACTCAGATAAGACGACATTATTCTCTGGGACCCCCTGGCTTTCATGAATACTTTTCAGCAGGTTTGGGTACAGAGGTCTTGTAATGTGCCGCCGAGTCGGTTTCTACTCCCCTGTTTAGGGCTTCCGAGGGTTTGAACCTCTGACCTTGTGGTTCACAGGCCAGTGCTTGTCCCACAGTGCCACACCAGGGTCCCTCAGATAAAACGACACAATTCTCTAGGACCCCTTGACTTTCATGGGAGTAATTTTCTGTAGATTTGGGGAACAGGGATTTTAGATGCCCCAAAAGTCACAGCACAACAGCTAGCATCGTTAACATTCCTGAACATGTGTTCTCACTTATAAAATGATTCTTTAACATTCTTAGTTAAACGTTGTGTCAGACATTGCTTTAAGACATTTTACTTACAGGTGAGTATGTAAGTGTACGACTTACCAGTATTCCAGTTGTGATGAACCACATCATCTGTTTTTGTGTGTATACATCTTACCTGTTATTAATGTCCATGTCTGTATGTATTAAAGTATGATACCTGTTAGTTTATATGTAATGTTTCCAGCCCCCAAAGAGATAAAGATAAAGATTGGATTGATAAAGATAACAATAATAAAGGATAATAATAATGAACACTTAAAAAAAGAAGTACTCAACTAACATCACACTGAGGGAGTCCTCAAAATGGAACCCCATCATTCGGGCACTAACTGTAGTTTTTGTTTTTTTAAATGCCCTTGTTACCCCTTAACTGGCTGGTGAATATCTATTCTTCAAATCCCAACTTCCTATCAATTCTCTTCCCTACACAGCTAATCACTAATCTCTTACTACTACTCTGCTTTGTACAGATCTATTGCTGCATTTATCACTGCTACTCTAATTTAGTCCTAGTGTGGCGCTGTGGGTTAATGCACCAGACTGCAAAGCTGTTTGAACTGCAAGGTTGGCGGTTCAAGCTCACCACCTGCTCCTTGAAAACCCTATACCGTGTCTCTATGAGTCAGAACCGACTTGACTGCACTTAACATCTCTATAACTTACTTATTTGCATGCTTATTTTTATTCAAAACTGAATTTCTGATGTCTTGTTCACTCGCATATCTTTAAGACTAGTACAGCATCTGTTCTATACTTGCTATGTGTCTTTGAGTGGATTCCAGCCTACTTGTAGCAACCCTATAGGACAAAGTAGAATTGCCCCATAGGGCTATCTAGGCTGTCTTCTTACGAGAGCAGATTTTGAGGTCTTTTCTCTGGTGTAGCCACTGGTTAGCTCAAATTGCTATCCTTTCACCCTATACAAGGTCGCTATGAGTCTGAAGTGAATCAAAAGCATTTAACAACCGTTTGTGTATGTATATATGTGTGTGTGTATATATATATAGATATAGATATATAGATATATAGAAGGTCTGTGGTTCAAGCTCAACAGCTGCTCCTTGGAAACCCTATACAGGGTTGCTATTGGTTGGAATCAGGTTGCTAATATCACGGTCAGCAGTTTGAAACTACCAGCGATTCCATGGGAGAAAGATGAGGCTCTCTGTTTTTGTAAAGATTTACAGCCTTGGAAACCTTTACAGGGTTGCTATGAAAGGGAACTGATTCCACAGCACATAACTACCACCATCATATATATATATCATATATACAGAGAGAGATACACACATGTGCATACACGTACACATGACAGTAAGTAAAAAAGTATTACTACAAAATCAGAAACCTTTCCAACAGAAATATCAAAATGAGGAGCTATTGATTTTGAACGTATCTTTCATCTAAGTCTATACACATCTGAAGGAGGTATTTCCATTTCTCTAAGGAATTCTGTGTTCATCCATTTTTACCTCATCAAAAGAGCAATTGTGGAACTGTAGGTACACAAATCCTGTGCCTTTGAAATGTTTAGTTGGATGAACCAACAGAAGTCTAAAGGGGCAAGATCAGGGCTGAGGGTGAATGGGGTAAGGTTTTCTACCAAAATTTCTGTCGGACAGCCCTTGCTACACTCAAGAAATAAGCAGATGCCTTGTTGTGATGTAAGAAAAATGCCTTGTGCAACTTTGCTGGCCTTTTTCACACCAATGCAGTTTTAAAAGTTTTTAAAACGTCTTTTTAATAGTCCCCCATGATCATCCTTCAAGAAAATCTTTCAGGCTTACCCCTTGGGAATCTCCAAAAAGCAATTGCCATAACCTTCTGAACTTCCTTTTCTCGGCCTTGAATTTAGTTGGCCAAGCAGATCCCCTCAGAATCCACTATTTTGATGGTCCCATTTTAAATACACCCTAACAAGATGGTCCCATTTTAAATACACCCTAAGAGGAGCTCTGGTAGCGTAGTGGTTACGAATCGGGCTGCGAACCTTAAGGTCAGCAGTTCGAAACTACCAGCCGCTCCGCGGGAGAAAGATGAGGCTTTCTACTCCTGTAAGGATTTACACCCTCGGAAACCCTGTACAGGGTCGCTATGGGTCGGACCCGACTCGATGGCTCTTAAAAACAACAACAAAAAAAACAAAACAAGACTAAGACAAATTACTGAAAGAACTTGTCTGCAGCCATCCACTGATCACAATGATGTATTTGGACACATTTTGTTTGTAATAAGCCTAATCATATACGAACTGGAGCCCTAATAACTATACTGTTTAACTTACCCTTCTATGTACAAGAGGACTGTGAAAAAATTCCATTGTCTCTCAATTCCGTTTTTCCATAAATGTTGTTAAGTCCCTTTGTATATCACACATACATACAAAATTACCTGGCTGAGGATTTGCATACTTTGGTAGTTTGGAGATGTTTCTTCCCATCAGCATTGGTGTCTGAAACCCTGTTGTTATAAACCTTTTTGTTGTTAAGTGCCCTTGAGTTGGTTCTGAACTATAGCAACCCTGTATAGGGTTTTTGAGAAGCAGCTGGTGAGCTTGAGCCATTGACCTTGTGGTTCAAAGCAACCTTGCAGTCCAGCGCATTAACCTACAATGCCACACCCGGACTCCATACCCTGGCTAGATGGGGTATAATATATGGAATATATGGAGATGAGGTTATTAGTTCATTAAAAAAATAAAGTCAAATCCTACTTGTGTTATTTGTTAAGTATAAAACAATCAAAATTACCTTTTTTTCTTTTCTTTGCTTAATTTCTAGCTAAAAGACACCTACTCACAGAAAATATTGTGAAATTAAAAGAATTTCAGCATAAGAAGGTGGCTATTGCACATAATCTCCCTGGCACCAAAGGTAATAGAGTCTACTTTGTTAATTTCATTGAGCTGTCATCTAAATTTCCTCTGTCTTTTTCCTATTCAGCGTCTCCCTCAGTGAACTTTAAATCCCAGAAAAAAAATCAAGCATTTATTTTGACTTTCCTAATCTTATGTGGCGCTGTGGATCAGCACTGGCCTGCACATCACAAGGTCGTCAGTTCAAATTCACCAGCTGCTCTTCGGAAACCCGATACAGCATCGCTATGAGTCTGAGCCGTCTCCATGGCACTTCTCAACAATCAACAAAAATCAAGCCTTATATTCACTTTGCATCTCATTCACTATTATTTCAGAGTCTACAGCTCTCCTCTTCACTCCTTATCCCAAGAGCTCAGGAAGAAACTCTAAAGTTAGTGCTGTATCCAGTCCTCTTTATGTCTTTGCCACTCAAAATGTGGTTTGAGGACCAGCAGCACACTCTTGGCCTTAGAAGTTGATAAATATGCAAAACCTTTTGACCTAGACAATCCGTATTCCTAGTAAATCTTGAGAAGGACTGGCCTGAGCTGGCTGACTTTCAAAATCTTTTGATGTAATTCTCAGTTAAAAAAAATATATTTTACGTTGTAACCCCAGTACACACATACTTAATTATAAAGTATGTGTGTACAAGAGTCCTATGATGTTATATTTTGATATTTCCTGTTCCAGGCTAGAAATTCAATAGGATAAAACAAAGATTTCCTTAAAATTTAGAAGGAACTTGCCTGGCATGAAATCTAGGATTTGCTTGGAAAAAATCCAATGGGGTTAGGAAGGATGATGGTGGTGGTGATGTGCCGTGGAGTCGGTTCCAACTCATAGTGACCCTGTACAGGGTTTCCGAGGCTTTAAATCTTTATGGGAGCAGAAAGCCTCATCTTTCTCCTGCGGAACAGCTGGTAGTTTTGAACTGCTGACCTT